GGATACATGCCAGAGTTTGGTTTGCTTTGCTGGCTATGGCATTGTATTGGTGGCTCATGTTCACCTTGTGGTCAATCAAGACCCCCCACTTCTCTTTCAGTCATGGTGCTAGCGAGCATAGCACTGCCGAGCCTATAAGTATGATACTGGTTTTTCCTTCCAAGGTAGAGCATCCTGCACTTTTCTATGTTAAATGCCATCAGGTTGTGGTCCACCCACTTTGCAAACCTGTCCAGGTCAGCCTGTATCCCCACCCTACCTTCCAGTGTGACTGCCTTCCCCCATAGGTGGTCCACCCACTTTGCAAACCTGTCCAGGTCAGCCTGTATCCCCACCCTACCTTCCAGTGTGACTGCCTTCCCCCATAGTTTAGTGTCATCTGTGAATTTTTCCAGTTCGCATCTGATGCCTGAATCCAGATAATTTATGAAGGTGTTGAAGAGTACTGGCCCAAGTACTGAGCCCTGAGGGATACCACTGGTCACCTTGTGCCAAGCTGATTTGCTCCCATCAACTAATACTTTTTGGGTCTAACCCCAGAACCAGTTCCCCAGCCATTGGACCATGAGATGGTTGAGGCCGCAGTTCTCCAGCTTGGTCATGAGGACATCATGGGAGACCAAGTCAAAGGCCTTCTTGAAATCCAGATATATGACATCAACCTCTTCTCCGTTGTCCAGGCAATGCGTCATCTGGTCATAGAAGGAGATGAGGTTAGTCAGGCAGGACCTTCCAGCAACAAAGCTATGTTGGCTGGCACTCAGAAAGTTGCCTTCCATTAGCCTGATGCTGATGAAACCCTTGATAATTTTCCCCAGGATCTTTCCAGGGATGGACATCAGACTGGTTGGTCTGTAATTCCCTGGGTTTTCCTTCCTTCCTTTCTTGAAGAGTGGGACCACGCTGGCTCTTTTCCAGTCCTCCAGTACCTCTCCCAAGTGCCACAAGTTCTCAAATATCTTTGCCATAGGGCATGCTATGATGTCCACCAGCTCCTTTAAGACTGTCGGGTGCATTCTGTCCGGGCCTGCGGATTTGTAGATGCCGAGCCTCTTGAGGTGTTCCCTTACTTGATCCATGTCAGTTGTGGGCCCATCTCCCATTCCCTGGATGCTTTGCATCCTAGCTGACAGGGTGACACGTTTGGATGCGTGGAAGACCAATGTAATGTAATGGTTTAAGAGATTGGCTTTTTCCTGATTGTCAGACATCAGCTGCCCCAATTGATTTAGCAGGGGTCCAACGTTGCTTTTGTTTTTCCTCCGACTTCCCACATATCTGAAGAAGGACTTTTTGTTGTCCTTGATTCCTGTGGCTAGCCTGAGTTCAGTTTCTGCCTTGTCTTTTCTGGTCCGCTCTCTACAAGAAGGACCCGGCAGCAGTGATGCTACAATAAAACCTCGGTCCATATCCTGCTTTCTGATCTACACTACAGCTTGCCAAGTTTTAACATTTAGACTTTTAAAAAGGTCTCTATCTCCTTAGTAAAAAAAGGGGTCATATGGGGTAGAGTGGGAAAGCAACATGAATTTGTGAGACACCATGTGAAACAAGTGGGTTTGGAGGGCATAAATAAATGCCACCCTGAGCTGGAATCAATCATGCTCCTAAGCCTTCTCAGATGTGTATTCACAAAGCAGTGGTCTAAGTTGCATGTGATTTTACATGTCTATCAAGCCAGACACACAAAATCCCAATGCAAAGAAATAGGATGTTACCTTGTGATATTCCCTGGAGGAGCTTCTCTTCAGGAAGGAATGAAGGTGCAGTATTGCTGCCTGCTAAAGATAAGATATTGGTCCAGGAGGAGATTCCCAGCATTTGGGAGATAGAAAAAGTGTACCTGCAGTGTTCCTGCTGCTTTTTTCGCTGGCTCTCATGGACCAATGCAAGGCTGCAATTTTTGGGTTTTGCAATCACAGAAAGGGAGCATCTACTTACCCACCAGTGTATATTATGTTTTCCTCTGTGTACCCACTCTACAGAGAATTTAAGTCTCTTACAGCCCTCAAGTATAGAAACTGGTGTGCCAACATCAGAAACTGGCACAAGAAGCAGGAGGGAGTTTCCATTTTTATACAGAAAGATCATAGGGGTTATGGTCATAAGTCAATAGGCCAAAAGGAGGGAACAGGAAAAGGTAAAGAAACATTAACACTGTGGTAACATCCACTCAGCACCTTAATTCCCCCCACCTCTGGAGGTGTCCCCAAACCAACCTTTAGTCCTTAAAGGGCTTAAACAACAGTCTGCAGCTACCCCAAGTCTGAATCCAGCTCCTTCTAGCCACAGTCCTGGCTGTCAGAGCCGGTGAGGTCTCCAGCTCCACTGCAAGCTCTTCTGCACAAGGCTGACCAGGTTCCAGTGCATGCTGCTCTTTTCCCCTTACTCCAGCCTCAAGCTTCCTCTTCCTTTTTTCCCTTCCCCCCAAGGCCCTGTGTTAAGGACATATATTACACATAAACTGGTTTAACTGATCAGAAGCTGGTTTGAGATCAACATGGTTGAATGTAATATCAGACTTAACTGATTTGGGTCAAACCGGTTTATGCAATGTCTGTCCCAAACCCCTTGATGATTTAAGATAAACCACACCCCCCCAGCATCCTGGCATGCTCTCTGGGCTGGGCGGGGCTCTGCTCCACAGCAGGGCTGGCCCTTCCCCTCTGCTCCCTGGCTGCAGCTCCTGCAGAGGCTGCAAGTGACTGCCTGGTTTCTCCCTGCTCCCCCGCTCCCCTCACCACTCCATGCTAAGCAAGGATCCCCCGTCCCCTCTGCCTTACAACACTTCTCAGCATTAGCTATCAGACCACATGTTGGCTATGTCCGTGCTGTGGCAGACAGGACAAAGGTGGAATCAACAGGTAGCTAGTAATGTCCCTCTGTTGTTTTCTTAATGGGCTGATAAATAGTGAGTTAGGGGGTGATAAACACTGTTATCAACTGCCTTCTGGGTGGGTCAAGAGGGGGGAACCCCTCCCTAATCAGTGTCCTGCCTGGCTATGCCCCTCTCAGCTCACCACTATGGAAGGGAAGGGAAGGCTAGTCTAGCACCCCCCAACTTCTAGCCTGAGCCACTGCAGGAGTGTGCCTGCATTTCTGGGATGTCTGTACAGTTACAAACTGATTCAGTTTCATACAGTTACAAACTGATTCAGCCTAACCAGGTTAGACTAACCTACAAAGATTGAATGAATTCAGTCTCAGGCTTTTTAAATGTCTCTCCCTAGCCCTGGAGCTTTGCGGGAACTGTAGTCCAGATTAACAGTCAGCACAGCTCTGCAGACTGCCCCTCATTTATCCTGCTGTTATACACATTACATTCACATTACATGAGCTCTTTTAGCTCAAGCTGTAGTAACCCATATTTTTAGCTGCTTTATCCCCAGTAGAGTGGCTTAAATGTCAGTGACAATTGTATGATCCTTTCTTAGTAGCAGCATTTGTTGTGTAATTTATTTAACTAAAATCCTATGCTTTTGTCCTAAACTATCTGACTTTTGTGAGAACAGATTTTTAACTTTAACCAAGTTAAAAGGGGTAATACATGCTCTACTCCATCACACTAAGTGGAAGCTAACCTGGCACAGCTAAACCTAATCCCTGAATGAAGCAATTTCTAAATTACTGCAGTTTATATTCCGCTTATTACAGGATAGAGTAGATAAAACAGTTACCATGGAGCAGCTGGCATGCAGTAAGCCCCAGCCCTCCTTTCTACTTGGTGTAATTTGTCCCATTGCCCTCACCTTTGGCCAGTCAATTAATTCTGTAACATGAATAAAAGATGGAATAGGGCAAAGAAAGAAAGGGAAGAGAAAAAGTTGCTACAAGCATTTTCACTTGGTTCTGTCCTACAACCTTGTATTCTGTGGCATTGGCTTTGAAATCACAGTCCTGCAAGCCTGATTAAGGTGTGATGATAGCAGTACAACTGCATCATGGTCGCCATCAAGGTGTATATCACCAATTAGGTTCTTCTTTGGAAGAAAGGCCTCTTCCTCCCCCCAGATTGCATCTGATAGCAGGCACAAATAAAATGGGCATACAGGCCTAGTATTGAAGAAGCTCCTTTCTCACCATATACTGTAGAGCTTGATTGCTCTATGAATGATGGTGGAATCTAGATACCTTAGGAAACAGGCGTGGAAATCTGTGTGTCGGAGAATGCTCGCTTTGTAAAATGCTTTAAGTTAAAATCATGGCACAGAGCCGGAAACCGTGGGTGTGTAAAGTAGGAGGTAATGAACCCTTGCTCCTCTTGAGCAATCCAAAATCCCGTCAAGAATTCAGGTGACTCTGTGCAAAACCAGCCCAATGTTTTAAACTGTTGACCTTGCCTCCTCTTTCTTTTTTAAAGCAAGTAATAAACTTTCCCTTATGATAGGGCCTAATCATGGGAGATGGAAAATCCTCCCTCTTCTCTAAGAGAAGTTCAGGCGAGTTGAATATGCTCACAACTTGCTAGACCAAGCCAGCTTTAAGTCAGCATTAAGCCCAAAGTCAGAAAGCTTCCATTTGCTATCTGTGAAGGTGCCACCACACTCAGGGATATCTGTGAGTCCTATTCTCTGCTTGCTTTATGCAGCAATAAACCAGTGAATAAGTATTTTATCCCTGTTGTGCCTAGCTACAACCAGGTAAGCTGTCTCCAGCTGACCAAGGTGTCCTCATTAATGATTGTTCTATATTTAGCCATTGCAGGGAATATGTGCCCCTGGTCTAATCAAAGACCCGGTTTCCATGGCAACAACACAGAGCATCTGGATATATACGATTTGCCAAACACTTTAATAGGGTGTGAGATGAAAAGAGCACACAACAGCATTAGGTGAATTAATATATTGTTCTCTCCCGCTCCGGATTACGAAACATTATTTTGTACAGTTCTCTTGCCATAAATGCTAGATTTTGCATTAATGAGAGCCCCATTAACCCAGGTTACGTTACTAATCTTCTTGTTGTGTGTCTTTTTTTTTCCCCCCTCCCCCATTTTGCAGGTGTATCAGCATTCGTATACGGCATATTATGTCCTCAGCAAAATACCTTTTGGGTAAGCAATTGTTCAATGTCTTCATTTAAAAAATGCAGCCATTGGGAATTCTGCAAAGTAATACGTAATGTCACAAATGGTTTGGCTTTCAGCTGCTGCATCCAGAGTCCTACATGTTGTACACAAGAGATGTCATCCGGAAGCAGGAGGATTTAACTTCCCTAGAGAATCGCACAGTGCAAGTTTCATCTTGCAGGACCCAGTGTTCAGTCTTTGATTGGACTGTAGATATGACAGCATCTGGCTGTTGGCCACTTTCCCTTTTGCTGGCAGCAGCTGAGTCCTCTGATGCTTTAAGCCTCTTGAGTCCAATCAGAGTCCAGGAACTGCCTGTGGGGTCTCTCAGCACACTTCTTGGGGCAGAAGAGCTGGAAGCCAGAGTCCAGGTGCTAACGCAGACTCATCCATCCCCATCCTAATTGAAACACACTCCCTGTTCACACACTCAAACTGAAGTTGTGAGCCATCCAGTTTGCAGTTCAGCTCTTCCAAAGGCTTTGTACAGGGCTTGTAAACAAATCGGTGTTTTCAGTTAAAGGTTGTAGCACCACGGATTACAGATCATTGGAAAACAAGCCTCCTTAGGGAAGTGCCCCTTCTCTTAGCTTATGCTGCCCTTGGAAATCTCTGTTCAGGAAAGGAAGCAATTCATGGTGCATCTTTTCTGACCTTGATTGATCCTGTAGCTATTCCAGCCTCCCACAGACGCAACAAAAGCAGGCTAAACAATGTCCCCTCATGCCCAAACCTTCCTGTATATCTTTCTGTCTTCCCCTATGAGACTGTTCTCACTTCATCTTGTTTCTAGAAACTTTTTACTGCTCCAAAATGCAGCCTGCGGCAGGCAAACTTGGCCAGATCTGTTTGCCTCGGCCCCAGTAAGCCCATTGTATCTAGCTGTTTCCACTACTGTCGCCAGTCTTCATGATTTTTGGAGTGACCCTGGTCCCTGATCCGGTTCTACTACTCCCTGGCAGACGCACCTGGCCAGAGCTATTCAGTAATGCAACAGTTTAACAATAAAGGTCTCATAATATTAATCAAAACTCATAAATTGTGCAGATAAATTCCCCAGATCACTACCAGTAGACTATACAGATAATAGCTAGTAAGTTAACATAAATTTGTTGGTCCTGGTCATCACATTGCCAATTAGTCACACTTAAACACATTTTTATCATTAAAAAATTTGGTAAAAAATACAGTTGAGATGTGCTTTGCTTTTTATTGTAGCATACTGTATGTGCAACTCTTCAGCTAAAGCTTATACATTTAGAATTCATTATACTCCTTTCTCTACATTATTATACCTATACAGAGTGTATAAACATGGAGTATATGCTTTACATACCCGTAATAACAGTCAGAGGATGCATCTATGTGTTCATTAATGTGCAGTGGTTACTGCACATTTAATTTAGTACTTATATAACCAAGTACTAAATAAATGCACAGTAACCAGAGTTACTATGCAGTAGCACCAGCGAACACCTTTTCAGTGATGCTGCTGCGCAGTAGCCTAATAATACTGTGCAATAGCATATTAGCACAGTCCATGCTGTGATGCACTACTGCAAAGTAGTAGGCTATTGCACAATTAGTCTCGTGTAGATGCACCCAGAGTGTAATTAAAAAGTATCTAAATTTTTGCATGACTAATCTCACTGATATCAACAGGGCTACTTTAAAGCCCTCATCCAGCGAAGTGCTCATCTAGCCAGTGCTTTAGACCTGCTGACATCACTGAGGCCTCTGACTTCAGTGTTTGTGGGAGTAGGTGTTTAGCAGGATTTGCAAAATCACAAAGTATGACAGGAACTGCGGCATGAATATCTCTGCTGTGATCTGAATGGGGGAAAACAAATAGTTGTGGTGGAAGGACACAAGAGGAAGACGATTCCAGCGGGACATCAACTTACGATAAACATGAGTCTTGTATGGATACTCCCGTGGAAAGAGTTAAACATGTGTATACATCTTTCTAAGTTCAAGGCCTAAACACACAAGGTCCAGGTGACAGGGCTGCTACATGATGTGTCTTTAAGGGGTTTGATTGCCAGTTCTTTTAGTGTCTTACCACGTAAGAAACCCTGTCGAAGTTAGCAGGACTATTTTTTGAGTAAAATGCCACCAAACATGAGGAGAGTATAATCTGACCCCAAATTTGTTTTTTCATTTTTCATTATTTTATACTGCTGTTTTTATATGTAACAGAAAAATACAAACACAAAATAGTTATAATTATCTATGAAAAAATGAATCTTTATACAAATATTGTCAGGGAGGACTTTATGGCTCCCTCCAAACGGGGACCTCTTGGTCTCTACTTTCTATATAGTAAACTAGTAGTGAAAGCACTCTGCCTGCATGCAGGGGACCTAAATTGAGTGCCCTGCTCAGACTGTGGGAGAGTTCAACCCCACATCTCCCATATCCTAATCACCTGACTATGAGGTAGACACAAGCCATGCTTCCTGTTGAAAGTGTACCACTGTCCAGATGTCCTCAAGCAGTTGTTTTAAATACACTTTGTAGGTGAATATAATAAAAAGGAACTGACATTAAAAATGCCTTTCAGTTGTATCTAGCTGAAAATATCACACCCTGTTTCCAAAAATGCTGTATTCTCCCTATATGTATTTCAGATCCCCAAACTGTTCATCTCACAGCTCGATTTCATTACTTAACCAAGTGCAGAAGAAGTTGTTTCATATGTGGAGCACATTAGAAACTTGCAAAATTAACAGTTTAGGAATCCAGATAATTCAACACTTGTATAATCCTTCCTCCCTCTTATACCCAATGCAGATTACATCAGATACTCAGCGTTAGCTTTTTCCCTTTGTTAGTTCTGTCATAGAACAACCCTGCTGGATGAATGGAAATATTTGAAATCAGAAGCATCCAATGTGAAGCCAAAATTATGAAAGGAACATAGTTGCCAGGAGGCATTAAGTAGTGTCAAACTCTTAACAGTTTTTTTCAGTGTCAGTGTTAGGAGAGCATGGGGAGTACTGCAGTGAAGAGAATTGAACTAATTGCTGTGTTTGGTGTTATAAAATGCCTTGATTTTACATAGCATTGTATCGATCTTGGCAGATTTTGCAAGCTGGTGTTTTTTTGTCCCAGTAGATAATGTTAGATGATCTGAAACTGGAATTGGAGCATTGTGAATTCATTCCCAGAGTATGTTTAATGGGAATGTGTAATCTTGCATTGATTGATCTGGCCTTTGTGTGTGTACACAAATACACACACACACACACACACACACACACACACATATATATACACACCTTTTTGTGTGTGTGTGTACACACACACATATATATTGAGAACATCCAGGGGGCTAGAGTGGGTGGCGATACAACTTGGATGATGTGATGAAGGATGGTGCATAACCTCAAAACTTTTATGTGGGCAAGGGGAGGGAATCACAATGTATATTTTGCATTTCTTAAAGGGGAAGGCACAACTGTGCTCTAATTTGTAGAGCATGCACCCAGCAGGGGATTGGAAGAAGTCTGTTGGCTTACCGGAGGGGGTCGGGGGGCCATCATGTTGCCCCTGGGGTGGGATGGCTGGTGCTTGTTTTATTCCTTTAGATTTAACATTTAAACACCAAGCTCTTGTACCAAGTGCCACAGCAGCAATGAAGCTTGCAACCACCACCCAAGCAGCATTAGACCTAATATGCAGATCCTACTTTCTGATATAAATACTCAGATATTGATCTCAGTTTTTAAAGTCAAAATGTTTTGTGCCTTTCCAGTGGCTGACTTGGAGGCCTGATCATGCTTCCATGTCCAAACACGCTAGAGGGTAGGGAGCTAATTCAGGTGGATTCGGACAGACTGGGGAAGTGGGCGGATCAGAATACAATGCAATTTAACAAAGATAAGTGCAAAGTGCTGCACCTGGGGAGGAAAAATCACCAATACACCTATAGACTGGGACATACCATTTTATGTAGAACAGCAGTGGAAAGGGATCTCAGAGTCACAGTCGATGCAAAAATGAACATAAGCCGCCGATGTGGTGAGGTCATAAGTAAGGCTAACCGCACTCTGCCTTGCATTAGCAGGTGCATCACAAGCAGGTCTGGTGATACATCCCCGCTATGCAGCATTGGCGAGGCCGCAAGTGGAGTACTGCGTCCAGTTTTGGGCGCCGTACTTCAAGAGGAATAAGGATAACCTGGAAAGTGTTCAGAGGAGGGCTGCACATATGGTTGAGGGCCTGCAGGTGAGATCCTATGAAGACAGACTGAGGGACCTGAATCTCTTCAGCCTCCACAAGAGAAGGCTGAGAGGTGATCTTGTGGCTGTCCAGAAACTTACTGTGGGGGTCAGCAGGGAATAGGGGATACTCTGTTTACCAGAGTGCCCCTCGGGGTTACTAGAAAAAACAGCCACAAACTGAAGGAAAGTAGATTTAGATTGGACATCATGAAGAACTTCTTTACAGTGAGGGTTGCCAAAATATGGAATGGACTTCCAAGAGAGGTGGTGCTTTCCCCTACCTTGGAGGTGTTCAAGAGGAGATTAGACAAGCACCTGGCTGGTGTCACTTGACCCCAGTGCTCTTTCCTACCCAGAGCAGGGGGTCAGACTCAGTGATCTAATAGATCTTTGCCAACCCTAGAAATCTATGAAATCTGCATCAGTGCACTGGACCTTGAGCACCAGGAACCAGATTAGCTCATTCTAGCAGTGCCATTTGCCCTCCTTAAATATTAGCTCCTCAAAACAGATTCTGGCAGCATCAGCTTCCCCATGCTGTCTCGTCCACATTCCTCCCCTTTCCCATAGGGGTGCACCAATAAAGATTTTCTTGGCCAATACCCATAGCCAATAATTAACCAACCATATCGGCTGATGGCCAATCCAATTACCGACATTTAGTAACAGTGCAAGGCATTTTAAACTACTGGCATAAACCTTTTATTTGTTTGTTTTGCATTGCATTTATAACACACACGCACACACAGGCCTCCTGCC